TTAACCCCTTTCTACCCAGTGTTAAGCCAGAGTATCTTAAAAATCCAAGCAAGTATTTTAATTGTCTTTGAGACCCTTTTTTCATACATGCACAACAGTCTGTGATTAGAAGTCTTTGGGTGAAGTGGAGTTCCCACTACATTATTCTAGATAAATAAATGAAGATAAAACTCTCTAGCCTTTTTCCTGTTTTTCTTGTGAATGTCTGTTCCTGTTTTTCATCATTTATGTTTAAATAGAAACATGCTTTACTGTTGCTAAAAATGAATTTGTTTTCAGATAGAGGGATATGATTATTGTAGAGGAAGTCACATAAAGTTCCAACAACTTTGCAAACTTCCTCTTTGGAATACACCTAAGTTGAAGGTTTGTAAAGCTCAAACACAGACTGTATCATTGAAAACAAGTGCTACTTTTTATTTCTAGTAGCAAAAATCTGGGTATAACCCAGATGGCATTAATAAAGGAAAAGCTGAATGCATTAAGATCTGAATTTCTAGATGACTTGAAGAAGTCTCTGTGTTATTATAAGTTAAAAATATCTACAGAGGAACAATCATAACATTAGCTTGTTTTTTTACTTTAAAAAGAAAACAAGCCTTGTGTGTATGTGTGATATGTACAAATGCAAAATGTATTCATAGAGAAAAACGTGGGGACAGTTTAGATACTTATGTAAGGGATAATTGGAAGAAACCGATAAAGATTGTAATGATTTTTCTTTTCAAAAATTTATATTATATTTATTTATGGTGGGGGTGTACATACCATGGTGTGCATGTGGAGGTTAGAGGACAACTTGTGGGAATCATTTCTCTACTTTTAGTAAGTGTTCCTGGAGATTGAACCTAGGTTGTCCAGCTTGGTGACAGGTATTTTTACCCACTGAACTGTCTCACCAGCTCCCTGATATTTCCTAATATATCTCTGGATTCTTTGCTTTATTTTAAAAGAACATGTGTGACTTTCATAATAAAATTTTAATACTACACAATCAACTACAGTAACACAGGGGAAGAAAACCTAAAATCGAGAGCTATTTAAGCAATCCTCCCATCTATCAGTTGTTAATTTCTTTTAGCTCTGCTCTAAAACCGGCTACTAGTTGGATACCTATGTGAACTGCTTATGACTTTTGCGGATAGAGGATACCATATCACATGACAGTTGTATAACTTAAATTGCTGAGCTTTATGTTTTTCACTACCTCGCTTCTTAGTTTCACTTTCTCCATTTTTAATCCTTCATTTTTTAACATGGATTAGACTCCCTATTATGGACATAAATCTTCTAGTACCCTCTCAGAGGTGCTTAAGCTCAAAGACAAACTCAAAGATTGTTTAGGGCATTAGATTTTCATGATTTCATATTTCAACAGCACTGAAGTGATCTCCATGCATCAGTCTTAGGAGAAAATGGAAACCAATAAGCATTTAACCTAACAAGTTATAACAATAAAGTTGTTATGAACCACTCTTGGGTACAATATCAAAGGGGGGATAGTACCATATCCATTACTAAAGCCCACTTAATAATAAAAGGTCGGTGTGTGAGTCTTCACATGTATGCACAGATACATGTGGCTAAGTAAAAGGACTATCTTTGTTACAAACTGTGTTGCATCATGCTAGACAACAGCCAAGCTAATCAGGGGAAATAATGTGATCATCTTTTGTCTAGGAAGGAAGGAAATAAGTGAAAATATGATTAAATAGGGTTAGAAGAGGTTAACTTGCCATTTCCTAGTAAAACTTCTGCTTCCAAATCCTGATGTAGGATCTCTGTAGTTTTTGTTTTCCTGTTCTCATACATTTCTTAGTGTTTTGATGATTTATCTATACTTAACATGAGAATTGAATTTACATTTGGTCAATATCTTAGGGATGTTTTTTTGTTTTTTAAAAATTATTTATTTTTATTTTATGTGTATGAGTGTTTGCTGAATGTTTGTAAGTGTGCCACATGTGTGCAGTGCCTGTGGAGGCCAGAAGAGGACATTAGATACCCTGGAACTAGAGTTACAGACAGTTGTTAGCCACCATGTAGGTGCAAAAGCAGCCAGTGTTCTTAACTGCCAAGTTGCCTCTCCAGCCCCAGGACTGTGTTTTAAACTTTTAAAAAATTACTGTCATGAGATCTTGGAACTCAGAATCTTATCTAGAGCCCTAAAAGCCAGCAGTCAAAGTTCTGGACACTCACTGAGGAATCTCATCCTTAAGAAAATTATTATTTTTATTATATGTGTATGAGTGTATGTAAGTGCACCCATGTTGTGCAGTACCTGCAGAGGTCAGAAAAGGGCACCAGATTCCCCAGAACTGGAGTTATGGATGTCTGTCAGCCACCATGTGAGTACTGGGAACTGGACCTGGAAGAGCAGCCAGTGCTCCTGCTGAGCCATCTCTCCAATCCCAACCCAATCTCACCCTTTAAAATAGATTAATTGCCATTCTTAAAGGGTGAATCCTTCACTCTGTGTATGAGACCCTTACAAAGTAGTCTGACCCTTAAGCAATGCCAGACAGGAGATACCTTCCTCTGAGTTGTTGACCAGGGTGGCCCAAGAGACTCCCAGACAGTAACCCAGCATAGAACTGGGAAAATGAACAGCAAACCCCAATCTTATCTAAAGGAATGTTGGCAACTGATTGCTGCTAGATGATGAAGAGCTGATCTTCCTAAAACAAGGAACTATAGATAGGCTGGCTAGACTCAGCAGATGGACTACCACTGGGGAACAGCTGGGGGCATTGATAACAGAGTGGACAGTAACAGAGTATAGGGCTCCAGTGGGTGGGGAGCTATGGGAGGGTGCCATTTGGGACGTGAGTATAAAGAAGAATAAAATTGCTTGGGATGTTCTGTATGAAATACACAAAAAAATCGATAAATTAAAAATGAGTTATATTTGAGGAAGAAACATAAAAATTTGCTTCATGTTAATTAGTAGATATGAAAAACATTACCATTGAAATCTACCTGATGAATTTATATCCATGCTCAGGTGCCAAGGTTCTCAGGAAGTAACTGATATGACTAGTAATAATCAGATATATAGAGATTAGAGATGCATGTGCAAACATCTAAGTGTTAGTTGCATTAAAAATGAGTTTTTCTCTATGATACAGTATATTTTAATAATGAAATGGAGAGAGATCTTTTTTAAAGGTTAAAACCTCATTGAATTTTATGTCTTATAGGGTTTATACTGAGTACAATATTGAATAACTGCATTAATTCAACACTGTGAACCTAAAAATTTACAGCCAATTTTGAAAGAGATGCATCTTTGCTCTGGAAACTGTTATTGATGATGTCAATGTTGTCATAATGAAATGTTTCTACTAATTATGTGGTTAGAGAGAGAGAGAGAGAGAGAGAGAGAGAGAGAGAGAGAGAGAACTTGACTAGTCCTTTATTACCTGTGTGATGCCAGGCAACTCTGTAGAAGTTCTGGTGTGTCTGTCAGAAGAAGCCTTTGCAGACTTTCTCCTCTTTCTTACGCTGATGTACGTAGACTCATGTAATCCATTTGAACACACGGTGACTTCAAGCCCAGGGGGCTTTCAGCTCAGTAATCACTGAGGTGAAACAGCTATAAACAGATTGATCACTTGATCACTTGAATACTTACTTGGAGAACTGGCTTTTATTTACTGTGGTGCTAGGTAAAGATTATGAAACTGACTTTACTTCTTTTTCTCTAAGGCTAAGCAAAGATGTCCATGAGCAAATTTATTTTATTTATTATTCTGTTTGTGTGTGCGTGTGTGTGTGTCACAACCCGCGTGTGGATGTCAGAGAACAACTTTGGGGGTTGATTCTCTCTCTCTGTTGAGGGTTCCAGGGATCAGACCCGGTCATCTGGTTTGTGCAGCAAGTGGCCATACCTGCTGCTCCATTTCGTACCAGCTCATGAGTATTTTAATGCCAACTCTATATTAAGCTGTTTTATTGACTCTCAATTTTAATCAGTAGGATAAGGACCCTGAGTCTAAGAAAAAGAGGTAAGGAAAAGGATTATTGATACTAATAATTATTTATTGAGCACTATAATGTGCTAGTGCCTTTTGAAGATTATCTTGTTAAAACTTCCCCACAAATAGAAAATCTGTACTATATTGCTCGTTATTTTAAAAGTGAGGAAACTGGCATGAATAATTGAGTGGTGTCTTGCCTAGGACACCCATCTGGTCACACAATACCACTTTATTAGTAAGTGTAGTGTCTACATCTTTCAGTAAACTAATATAGTCCTAGCTTCAATCTTGAATCCTAGAGCGATTATCTACTTTCCATTTTAAAAGTGGGCTAAACAAATTACACAGTCACTCTCTCAAGGTTTCCCAATGTTATCACTATTAACATTTGGAGCTTTTCTTGTGCATGTAGGGTGTTTAGCAGTGTCATTGGTTTCTAGACACTAAAAGCCAATAGCACTATCACTTTTGAGTAACGAAGACAAAAATGTCTCCAAACATTGACAAATGTCCCCTGGGGACTATGATCATAAAAATCTAACTTCAAAAGTATAGTCTAACTTACTTGTTACAGAACACGTAGTATCATGAACTGAATCTACCCAGAAAGTGGCTGTTACATACACTATACTTAACAAAATGTAACTTGGTCAGGGGCATTATTTGGCTTCCCAACTATAGAGAGGTGCAAGGGCTAAACTAAACAAGTAATACACAAGATGACTGGAGGGGTTCTAGTGATTAAAAACTGGTTTGTTGTGATTCTTGTTGGAGAAGAATGGAATAGTTGGTGGAAAGTGACCAGCAGTCTCCTGGCTGCCAATTCTTAAAATACTGAGGAGTGTGATTCTTGTCTCCATCCAAGTTTTGCCTTAGTGAGAAACATAAAAGCCAGGGTGACAGTCAGAGTGTGATGCAGTGAGCTTCCTACCTCAGCATCTTCTTCAGGAGTAATATCTGATGATAACTAGTGCTCCATTTTCTCCTACTCTTATACTTAGAAATGACCACCATTGCTTCCATACCACCATTTTCCATTTATTAGCAATAACAGAAGAAATACCAATAGCACCAATTAAAAATGAATCCACATGACGTGTTTTATCCTTACAGCTGTAATAACTAGTAACTAACACGGATTTGAATGCACTTCATAAATTTAAAAAGTGCTGTACAGATACATTATAATTATCATCATTAATAAATTAGCCCGATTCTCCTAGTTCAAAAGGCACGTAAGGTCAGTTACATGGGCTTCAGTGGGGCAAAATGATCACAACCTACAATGCAGCAATGGTTCACATGTGTTGTCAACAAATTTTACCCCATGCAATCCTGCAGAGCTGAAGTTACACACCCTTCAAAATATGGGAGAATGAAGCTAAAAGAAGACGAGACATGGTTTGTTTGTTTTTTTTTTTGTTTGTTTTTGAGATTTTTATGCCTCTTTAAAACAGACTCCTACCTCTTTTATATTAACTTTTAAATAGATAATATAATTAATCAAGCTTCTGAGTTGTGCATAACAAAATTAAAATGTCTTAGTTAAGGTGACAGTAAATTTTATTACTTTCTATGAGCTGATATTCCAGACAGCATTTCAAAGCAATCTGCAAATTCAAAGAGGTCAGATTGGTACAATTTGTGCTTGCACACCTTCAGGGAATATCTTCAGTATTTATTCCAGAATTGTTACTAGAAAACAACAGTTTTATCCATTCCCTTGCCAGCAGGAATCTTGACAAGAGACAGCTCTTAGCTGACCATAAATAAAATTCCTTGAATCACCAGCATCTTGATTTAAGAAAGAAATTTTACTGTGTCTTTCATACATAAAAGCTGATTAACAATGATTTTTTAAAAAAACACTACTGCACTTTCCACAGGTGTACAAAAGGAAATATAATGGGATTACATTCAACAATAAAGCTTAAAGTTCACTCTAGGTAATAGTTGCATTAACATTCACATACACAAGCACAGAGTAAGTATATTTCAGGAGTCTTATAATAGCATACAGCATACATATGGGAGATTGATTTCAGGTAACATCATAGGTGTTAGTAAGATTAGCAATTCAGAGTGTTATAGAAAAGGAAAACTAAACAAAGAGAAGGTGTAGGCTAGCACATCAAGACAATCACAGAGTTGGAGGAATGGAAAGTCTGCTCACTGTATGTATGAGAAAATAATATTCTTCAGTTTCTGGGTCTTGATATAGTGGGTTAGAGAAGGTTGTATAATCAAAGTGCACATCATTTTTCTTAGAAGAGAGAGAGAGAGAAAGATCCTTTTATTTAGTAATTAATACATGCAAGAGGCAGCCCCAGAGTGACCTGAAAGAGTAAAGCTGTGATTGGCAGGTGGCCGATATAATACAGATGTCCCAGGCAATTCTCTTAAAGCACTTCTGTAGCAGCAATGATCATTTAAATGGCTGTAGATTGAATTCTCTTTTGAGGGAAGTTTGGGGAGGTTGTATTTATCACATTTCTTTAAAGATTTATAGCTATAGATAGACTTTCTCTTTTTTTTAAATAAATCTATCATCAAACAGCATAAAGTGAGGTGTTGGATATTTTCTTTTGCTTTTGCATATGTGTTGTCAGAAAAGGAGCTGACCTTTTCATAAACATTGTGTGCAAAAGAATTTTTAATAAAGTGAGCACAAGGACATATACAGGAAACACATCAGATCCGCTTCTGTTGCCCTGGCTGACCCTCTGTTAAACACTTGAACTGCTGGCTTGTATGCATAACACACACTTAGGTACAATGATGCCACAGCCAACAGACTTTAGGGACTCCTAAAACTTTGTCAGTGCAGTGGTTTTGTCTGCTAGAGGATGACCACCACCTTAACTTGAGAGGTTGAGAAAGTCTGGTTGCTTTCTGTTTTCACGTTTCCCCCTCTAGACTGATGACTCCTGTTGATGGTATTTATTTCCCTTTGTTTCCCAGCCTTTCTTGTGCCTACTAGTCTACTCTGGACCATCCCAGCCATTATCTTGCACCGGAACACTCATGGTGACCACACATACCCAAATACCCAAGCTGCTCAATCTGAAAACCTTTCAGCCTGCCTTGCAAGTGTCATCAAGACAGGATCCCCGAAGTACAGGGCAGAGAGTCCAACTCTCACTGGCGGGGCTGGGAAGCCTCTCCTTTGCGGCGGAGGAGAAAGGAAACTTGGGTCTGCTTTTTAGGTTCTGAAAACAAGCCAGAGTGGAGAGAAAGAGTTAACACCAGACTTAGGAAAGCTTTTAAGACAAAACCTGTCCAGGGAACTTTCTGCAGATTTCTGAGGTCTCTATGAGGGCTCATGTTGATAGGAGAAAGGAGCAGGGAGTTGCTACATGGGAGAGATTTGCCATCATTACAAAAACTGGCTAAGTGGCTTGTTTCCATTGGTGACCTCACTGGTCACTGTTGTCAGTAGTGCTGTTCCCTTTCTCCTTTTTCTCCTGGGTCTTGTTACCCTTCTTCTTTTTCTTTTTTTTCTTGGTCTCCTCCTTTTTGCCGAAGGTTATAAAGTCGCTTTTGTCAATTTGGTTGTTAGTAGGCTCCTGCCGGATGGAGATGATTGCAGGAGATCCTGGGATAATGAATTTGTCTGGCAACTCACCGGGACCGGATTGTTTGGGGTTGCCTGGTCCGTATTTAAAGGTCCAGCTGTTGCTGTTGACACCAGCACCTACTGGAGGAGACACCTCTCCTGCCTCTGGTTCTGAAAGACAAAACATCATAAATCAGCAACAGTTAACAGTTAAGGCATACTCTCCCGGATGCCACCCAACTGGTAGGATAAGGGGAGAGGCTGTCCCTAAGCTTGAGGGGAAGGCCAGCTTGAAAACAAGCAGGAAGGTGAATTTTCTCACCAAGGTGCAACAATCTAGTTTTCTAGTAGCATAGTTTTGCTTCTTCATGAAGAGTTGCCCAAATAATAGAGCTGTGATTATCTTGCCGAGGTAATAAAAGAGGAAATATACTGGATTAAAGCAGAGAATCTACTCCCACTTTATGAATTAGGATAATAATGTCCTGAAAAGAATGTAAACATGGAAAAGAAGACAGAGTCAAATATACTTAATGATAGATGAAGCTGATAGGTGAATCGGGTCAACTGGGAGAAAGGACCAGGACATAGATGAAACTCCAGTGGGATAGAGTTTATTAGCAAAGGAGAATTTGCACGGGACAGATTCCCTTTGGCAGGGAAAATGTCAGCCCATGGGTCTTGGGCTGGGGTCTTTATAGGGGGCCTCAAGGGATGCAGAAGGTGGGAACATATTTTTAAAAATTAGGGAGAGGAAGTGGGAGAGCTGGAGCCCAGGGTTTATCAGAACAGCTTCTGTTAAAAACTGCCCCCTTCTGTCAGTCAGCCAGGATCTGGGTCAAGAGGTGTCTGCTTACCCTTTAAGATCATCAAAGGGAAAGCCTGCTATACTGCAGTGACTCCTCGGGTCTCTGGTCAAAAGGTGGACTCTGTTTGCCAAAGGGAAAGCACCCTGGCTTTGGCCAAAAGGTGCAGAAAAGTCTGCTTCTCGTGACTTCAAAGACCAGGGTGCTCATCAACTCCTGCATTCTCAGGGGCTTGCAAATCCATAAGGCCCTGCTGTATTGGGGAGGGAGTTGTTGTAGATCCAAACCCTAACACTTAAGATGAATAAATGGTTAAGTCTCAGTAATGTATTGTAAATAGAGAGTAGAGTTTAAAAAATGAAGAACAGTTCTAAACTTCCTGACCTGAACAGTGGGGTGAATGGGGAATCATCTACTGGGACTGTAAAGATTTAGAAAAGAGTAGAGAATAAGAATCAAGAGTTTGATTTCAGATTTCTTCAGTTTGTAATTTCCAGGAAACTTTCAAGCAGAGACACCAGAGAAAGTTATGTGGGATTCTAGAGGTGAAATTTGCACTGAGCCTTGGGACAATGATCATGTATCCACAGGGGGCCTCAGTGTAAAACTTTCCCAAGATTTTATTTGGAAGATACACCATGAAGTATAACTGTGACTAGAAGGAAAGCCAGAGCAGGTAAGGGAGAGTGATAATCTGACCTAGAAAAGAGATCCCAGTGATCAAGACATTGGAAACTTCTGATATCACTAGAGTGCTTATGCATCTGGTGCTGCTTTTGGGTCAACTTGCAAAAAGTTTAGCGGAATCAACTGTTTACGTACTGGGGCAGCTTAGGATTGTCCACACCTACTGTGCCTGTGCCCTGCTTCCTGCCATTTCTTAGTCTCCTTTTGTTTGGTGTGTCTGGGCACTACTTTTTTGAACATTGCTCACATCAAGTTTCCTATTCTATTTCCCAAACCAATAGTCACATTCCAGTTCTCATCCTATTAGATATTTCAGAAACATTTGTCATTTCTTTCTTGAAACACTATGAGTTCTTTGTCATGCAGGAGAATAATAAACCCCATGGGTTCTTAGTTGGACTGGGCTTCTGTTACAAGACAGATTAACATGAAAAAAACAAACAGAAGCCAAATGATATACATATTTCATATACACATCAGATATACCACAGGAATGAATGGTTCTCAAAGAGGTGGCTTTATAACCCAGATTACATCACCTTCAGCAAAGAGCAGTCAATTTTTAGAGAAGTGGCAAGACAAAGGAAAGAACTTTGAGTCCTAAGGATAGCAACTTGGAGCAAGGCAAATAAATGGCAGATAAAGACTATTTAGTAAGGGTTGTTACTATAGATTTCATCTCCAGGGTAAGCCCAAAATTGTCTCCCATGGTTAATTTTTGTTCTCCCTGGTATGTGAGGGAGTTTTGTTGTTGTTTTTGTTGTTGTTTTTAATAAATCTATATTCTGCTTTTAGGCAAACAAAAAGAGTCAGAGAGATTTCCTGAATTTTTTTCTTAACAGTTCATGGTAGTTTGCAGAGGCATCATCTGGTCCCCACAACCAAAACATTCTCCTGATCTTTCTTTTTGCCTGTTGATCAGTTAGTTCCCTTTGCATGATTCTCCTTTACCTATGTGATTAAGCTTTGATGGGTCTGGCCCATGACTCTTTGATCTACTTTATCTCTGCATTTTTCTTTTAAGGAGCTTAGCCATGTTCATGGGTATAAATATCATCTAAATATGCTAATGAAACTGGGCATGGTGCCACAGACCTATAATTACAGGACTCAGGAAGCTGAAGCAGAAGGATAGAGAAGTTCAAGGACAGTCTGGGCTATGTAGCAAGTTCAAAGCCAAGCTTGAACTATCTCAAAAATAAAAATAAATTAAGTGAGTAAATACGCTAATAAGATACAGATTTGTATTAAAAGTCCACATTCTTTCATGCTACAATCACATGAATCCAACTGCCTTTCTGGTGTCTCTACTTGAAAGTTTCCTGGAAATTACAAACTGAAGAAATCTGAAATCAAACTCTTGATTCTTATTCTCTACTCCTTTCTAAATCTTTACAGTCCCAGCAGATGATTCCCCATTCACCCCACTGTTCAAGCCAGGAAGTTTAGAAATGTTCTTCATTTTTTAGACTCTACTGTCTATTTACAGTACATTACTGAGACTTACTATTTATTCATCCTAAGTATATTTGACTCTGTCTTCTCTCCCCGTTTACATTCTTTTCAGGACATCATCTCTTATATAAATTGTAGCAATAACTTCTCCCTTGTTCAGCCTGCTTCCTCTCTTGTCTCTCTCTAATCTCCCACACAGATTCTGAATCATCCTTATTCTTTAAAGTCCTTTTTCATTTTTAAAAATGGAAGCATAGCATACCCACAGTAAAATTCTTTAAAATAGAAATCAAATGAGATCACACTCCCACTTAAAATTATTCAAATGTTTTCTACTGTCTTGAGGGAAAAAAAAACCTG